AGTTAACACTAGTTAGCATTTATGAGAAGAGGAAGAGTTCATTCTACTGTAGGAGGGTTTACCACAAAAATTAACAATTTTGGGGGATAATCTGTAGTCTTTTTTGCAATTGCATTTATGAAGCATTTTAGTATTGTGAGAGTTTGTCATAATTGGAAAATTTTATTGTGTTGCCTAATTGTATTTTGTTTACATAAAAGGCATGTAAGCCTGTATGAAAGAGTAGTTGTTGTGTAGCCTATATAAGACATATTTTATTTATAATTAAAGATGCAATCTCCAATTGTACAAATAAACACATAAGCAGCATTACTCTTGTGTTCTTATTCGCAATTTAGAAAAGTCAATGAAGAAATTTAAGAGACATAGAATATTTCTGTCGAATTATACTACACATACATACATATGTGTGTGTGTGTGTATATATATATATATATATATATATATATATATATATATGTTGTGACCTGTTTAGGAGCCAGAAAGAAAGACATGGAAGATGAAGGTAGGTTGAACAAGTGTATTGAAATACAAAGTAAGAGTGTTAGTAATAAGCAGATAGAGGTGTACATCCGAACGGTAGGTTAACACTGCGTCTATACTCCCAACCGACTCATGCAGTTAGTACTTATGAGAGGAGGAAGAGTTCATTCTACTGTAGGAGGGTTTGCCACAACAGAATGCTAGACAATTTCTTCGAAGGTGAAAGACTTAAAGTAACAGAGATGATTAGCAGTGAATCCAAAGAATAACATAGACAATAAAAGATGACCAATGAGAATCTTTTAAGAATAGGAATGACACAGAAACTGTTACATATCGTCAGAAAGAGCAGAAATTTCTCTGATACATAATGAGGAAAGAGGATCTGGAAAATTTAATACTCACAGGACATATGGAAGGCAAGAGATGCAAAAAGAAATAAAGAATAACCGACTTAATGGTTTTTTCAAAAATGGATAGCAAAATAGGGACAAAAATAGATGTTAACGGGTCAAAGGTTACTAAGTCAGGAATTTGTGGAGAGCCATGACTACCTACATCACAAGGGATTTTACACATGAAAAAAGAGGAAGAAGTCATTGCCAATGAAAAAGATTTTTTTTATCTGTGCTTAACATAATACAAAGCAAATTCCCTTTAAGGGCTACAAAAGACAAGAAACTGTGGAGAGCCATAACTGTCTACGTCTTGAAGGGATACATCAAATAGAAGAAGAGATTTTAGACAAACTCTTACCATACAATACAGTGAACAATTGACTCATTTAAATAAGACATTCAAATAGCAAAGATAATTCTTTTGGTTGATGGCAAAAATTTAAATAGTTCTTTGGCTGTCTGTCAATGACTAACCATGTATTTCAAATGCTTGCAGGAAATCATCAAGGAACTGAGATACATTCCTTCTCCCATAACTGGCAAATTCTCCAGAAATATCACCTTCACACTTGACCTCATGCTGACTGCTTAGGTTATTTAGTTCAATGAAATGTCGATCACTGTTGGGATATTTTATCTTGAATATAAGTCATACAGAACAAAATTCACAATAAATTGACCAGTTGATGTAAGTTCATTTTACTATAGAATCAAAACAGAGATCCATTTTATACTAAAACCAAAAAGTTTGACTTAAATTTATTTTAATATAGAATCAAGAAGGTACATATAGGTCCAATTTAAAATAATCAAAAAGCTGGACAGGGGTTCATTTTGCTATAGGGACAAAAACGTAGAGATAGGTTCATTTTACTATAGAATAAAAAAAAGTCACCATAAGTTTATTTAACTATAGAAACAAAAATGTTAAGATAGGTTCATTTTACTACAGGGAGAAAAATGGAAGACATTGGTCCATTTTACACTAGAAATAAAAATGAAGACATAGGTCCATTTTGCACTAGAGCAAAAAAGTAAGACATAGATCCATTTTGTACTCAAGATAAAGAAAGAAACATAGGTCCATTTTGCACTCAAGGAAAGAAAGGGAGACATAGGTCCATTTTGCACTCGAGCAAAAAAGGAAGACATAGGTCCATTTTGCACTAGAGAAAAAGGAAGACTTAGGTCCATTTTACTATGGAATCAAAACAGTGAACATATATTCATTTTACAATATAGACAGAAAAGCAGACATAACTTAAATTTGTTATAGGAACAAAAAAGGAGACATAAGTTAATTTTACTATAGGGGCAAAAAGGTAGACATAGGTTCATTTTATTATAACATTAAAGAGGTAGACATAAGTTCATTTTACACTAGGGACAAAAATACATGCATAGCTTCATTTTACATGAATTCAAAACACAACAAATTATACTATTGTTAGTTTAAAGAGTCACATGCACATGAAATATGAACTGAAAAATGAAAATCAAACAACACAAAAGTAAAACTACAGTGCTCAATATAAATTTACAGAACATAAATATATAAATTAACTAAAATGAACATGCTACCACCCCTGTCTGAATGATTGGATTTCTCTGTATCCTTGGAAACAAGAAATTATGAATTTATATGCGTGTTTAAAACTCAGTAAATTTAAAAATAAGTTATTCCAAAATTCACTTGAAGATAAAACAGAACTAATGATTTTAATTTAATTATATAATTAAATTTGAAGTTTTAGCTTCAGTTTTTACAACATGATTATTACTGTGTAGCAAAGAAATCATATTTAAATCAGTTAATTTATAAAAGTTTATAATATATTTATATATATATATATATATATATATATATATATATATATATGTGTGTGTATATGTAAATATATACATATGTATGTATATCTGAATATAATGAGAACAAAAATAATATAAATTTTAACATTCACAGCATTAATTCAAAAGAAGCCTCAATACCTAGAGTAGTGCAATAATTATTTATAATTTTTGCATACAGGCAAAAACAACTTACTCACTACAAAGATGCATTCTTGTTTCAATGCAGCTGCATTAATAGGAGCAGAATATCTGAATATAATGGGAACAATTAAGAGTAGCAGAGTCTGATTGCATTCTTGTTTCAATGCAACTGCATCTGCCACATTAAAACAAGAATGCATCTTTGTAGTAAGTTGTTTTTGTCCATATGCAAAATTTATAATAAATAAATAAATACATGTATGTATATATATATGGCATGAAATTGCATTCAAGCATGAAACTGACTCTTGCCACTCTATGTTGACCTCCATGTCCATTTGCATATATATATATATATATATATATATATATATATATATATATATATATATATATATATATATGAAAAATATAGTCTTAAAATGTGTTATATTCATGGGATAAAGTGCTCAATATCAGAGATTGAGCGTGTGTAAATACAAAAGAGAACATAGAAGTCAACACTTAGAGGCGACAGGTTTCATGCTAGATGCAATCATCAGGCACTCATGGCCTGACAATTACATCTAGCATGAAGCAGACTGTCACATCTAAGTATTGACTTCTATGTTCACTTTTATATATATATATATATATATATATATAGTGTGCATGTGTGTGTACCATTTATTTGGACCGTGTGCGGTATAAATATTTACCCATTATTTAAATATAAGAGTGTTCCACAGGTGAGAAATGCAAGAAATAGAAACTATTAGAATAGAAATGGCAGTTACATTGAGCTATTTCAAAAGTAAAATAATGAGATCTATTTGCCGATCTAAATTTATTCAGTCAAGGTATCAAGGAGGAAAGCTCATTGGAGTAATTGCCATAAAAATGTTTATAGAAAAGATACAGAGAAGCCAAACCATGGCATTGAGAAAGTGACTGAAGTTGAGATGCCAGGTCAGGATCAATAATGTTACAGACCCATTTCTGGATTTTGTCAAGAACCTTACGATATATATCAAGAGAACCAGGTCAGATACGGAGGTAGTATTAAAGGTACAGGCAAATGGTAGATTTAAAATGTCCAAGGCTTTTAGTAAGAAAAAACTGTCTGGCACAAAACAATATTATTATTAGCAGCAGACCTAGCAATTAATTCAATATAATCCTTCCACTTCATGTCACTGGAAAACGTGAGACCAAAAAAGATGCAGTGAGTTGCTCTTCTGCAGTTTAGCATCAGCCATGATGTTGGAAAGCAAATATTGTTTTCTAAAATGACTAAGTGATTACAGTTTCAATTTTGAGGCTTTAAAATATAAAACATCTGGCATTTATTGACTTTTAGTTGAAATTCATAAAATATTTTTATTAGGACATTTTTCAAGAAATTAGACATATATATGGTTCCATACAGAACTGAATTAGATGGATGTCATGGATGAACACCATATTGATGTTTAAATCTTATGATGCTTTTGAAGGCAATTACTAGAGGTTTTAAGGAAATTAGGCTTATATACAGAATTGTATAACAGATGATTGTTTAAACATTTCTGAATAAGTTGGGAATTTTCACATTTTTTTTTATTGAGTTCACCCTAAGCAAGGCGTTAAATCCACTGACAGACAGGGTGTGGCACTATTAGAAACAGAAACATTGCTAAGGATCAAGAAGAAAAGAAGAGTAATCAGGAGGACTGTAGATATATTAAAAACAGTTTTTCTGCAAAGGTTCAACTGCTTTATCACCTCACAATTCTTGATACTACCCATGTTTCAATGCACCAATTTGATCAGATTATGTTTGAACCACCATATTTAATTAAGTTGTAAACAATAAAACAAAAAATGTTGGAAAGCCTTATGCAAAATTTGAAACTATTTTATGAATAGTTACGTTTCAAATTACGTTTGAATAATGAGCAAATATTTATGTCACACCACACTTTTTTATTGTTAATTGCCTCAACCTTGGTAGATAAATTAAGAAATCAGGTTAATTAATGTCAGATGAAATGAGCAGCAGGTGAAAAATATGGATCTGTGAGCTGAAGGTAAATTTCAAGTAGGGCATTTTGCAGTGACGTAATTCTTTAAACATGATGTAATATTGCGATGTAAGGATTTGGACAGTGTGTTGTATCTATCTATCTATCTATCTATCTATCTATCTATCTATCTATCTATCTATCTCAGTCAACTCATATGTATGTATGTATGTATGTATCTGTCTATCTATCAATCTATCAATCTAACTATCTATCTAGCTCAGTCTACTCATATCTATCTATACCAATTATTTTATACTCTCTCCCTCATATCTATCTATCTATCTATCTATCTATCTATCTATCTATCTATCTATCTATCTATCTCAGTCAACTCATATATATATATGTATGTATGTATGTATGTATGTATGTATGTATGTATGTATGTATCTGTCTATCTATCGATCTATCAATCTATCTATCTATCTATCTCAGTCTGTTCATTATCTATCTATTCCAGTATTTCATTCTCTATCCACTCATATCTATCTATCTATCTATCTATCTATCTATCTATCTATCTATCTATCTATCTATCAATATCAGTTGACTCATATGTATGTATGTATGTATGTATCTTTCTAACTCTCTGTCTATCTATCTAGCTCAGTCTACTCATATCTATCTATCCCAATTATTTCATTTTCTCTCCCTCATATCTATCTATCTATCTATCTATCTATCTATCTATCTATCTATCTATATCCATAAAAAGGCTGAATAACAGAGGAAGAAATTCTGGGACTAAAAAGGTGAAAATAGAAAAAATAGTGAGGCAAGAAAACAGAAAAAAACATGAAGTAAAAAAGAAGGAGGGGAACAATAAATTAGTGAGCTGAGTTTGAATTCCAGTTAAGTTCATTACATTCATTTTTGCACAAGTAACCTTAGGAAAGACATGAAAGCATCTCTTTACCAAGAATAGAGCCCTGGGGACATCTGCATTAATATGAAAAGAACTAGAAGCATGTCTGTTCAACATGACCTTCATCATATGATTTACTAGGTATGACTGGATTAAGCCAAATATATATCCATAGATACCATAGTCCTTGAGCATGTAGAGAAGGTAAGCATTCCAAACCCTGTTGAATGTCTTCAAGATATCTTGAGTCACAACTTTTTGCCATTCTTATGTAAAGCTGGATAGACAAATTCAATGATAGCCCTTAACACATGGACGGTAAACCTGGAGATATCGAAGACATGTTGTTTATCACAAAGGAGGCTGTGTGAAGTCAGATGCTTAACTTAGTTGGCATTGATTAAAACATCTTGCTAAAAAGAGGTAAAAGGAGTGAGATAATTTCTAGGGGTCAGAAGATTCCTCAGAGTTGCCAAAGTCAGGAAATACATAGTAGGACTTATATTAAGAAATGGACAAAGTCCGACAATTTATTTATTAAAGACATTTTTTATGTTTAATGTTCTTTTATAGATACAAGTATTTAAGTAAATGCTCTGTTTATAATAAACAGTATTAAATAACATTTACCGGCCTGAATGTCCGAAATTTTCATAGAAAATATTTGTTCTTTGACAGGATTCGAACCTGTATCCTATACGGAATCGTCATTTCCGCTGACGTGCCTTACCGATCGGCCACAAAGAAGCGTTCGGTAGACAAGGTCGAATTTACTGCTTATAAACTTCAATCTTCCATGAATCTCGTACATTCATAACTACTCTGGCATATCAAATGTAAACAAATGACGTCATATATTAAGAAATGGACAAAGTAGTAGTAGGACTTCCAACAAACTGGAAAGCAAGAAGTACTGACATATTTAGTGTAATATTTGGGGAGAACAGGAACTTGTTCAGGAGAACATTTCTTCAGGACAATTGTGGAGATACTGCAGAGTTTAGCAATTAAACATTCTGAATTTTTATAATAGAATCAGGGCCAGTGCATACTCCCTCCAAACTCACTGTCTGAGAGTGTGTCCCAAGCCTGATTGGGGGCACCAGGCTTTCCTTTAGAAACCTTGCTATCTTATTAACATTTGATTTTTTCTACTTACATTTATATACATTACAAATTAAACTAAGCACAACTATTAAAGTATGAAAAATTTGAGCAAATTTTGCCGTCATTCTGGGGTTGTCTTTTTTGTCCAAATCTGTAAACTTCTTTTGACTCATACTAAGTCATGAAAAAACACTACATAAAATTCATTATCTTTTATCCATAAAGTTGGATGTGTTGAAATTCTTCAGCTATTTAAGAGGAAAAATTTCATGTTGATGTTAAAATTTGCTACAAAGCATTGTCAATTTGTTTAAGATAGAATAATCTATTATGACATATCACTAATTAGTATTTAGATACATTGTATTTATTTTCAATTTTCTATTTGAATTGTTCACTTATATTTCATATGATCCATTATTGTACATAATTAGATTACAATAAAATTTATATTTTATGTGTTATACCTGACGTACCTATTCTATTATTAATAGGCTCTCCCACACATAATAAGTAGTAGTAGTAGTAGCGGTCGCCAGCTGGGCTCAGTGGTGTTGAGTGAGTCTGAAGTATCAACCATCACAACTAGATTGCTGCGTCATTAACTCTTATTTCAAGTTCCTAACATTTTGTACGTCGAACCTAATTTAGGATGACTTATTGAAATACAAGCCTCCACTGTGTAAACTACTCTACAACAATATGAGTACAACTTAATGAAAATTGAGATGTTTTAGACTGGTGGTATCATAGATTCAGGCTGCAGGGGTGCATAAAACCCTTGCAGCAGCCCTGATCTCATGAGACAATCATAACACACTGTTTGGTCAAAATTCTTTTATGATCAGTGTCTGAAGTGGTTTAATAGTCCCATTATTGTACATAATTAAGTTAAAATAAAATTTGTATTTTTTATGAATACTAATGAAAAGTATGATGTAGTAGATTTGGGGAGCCCCATATCCTTGATTGGTGGGGTCATGACACTCTTGCACCAGCCCTTGTGCCATCACTACTTTCATTGAATCATGATTTCTGTTTTAGAAACATAGATCATGATTTCTGTTTTAGAAACATGTAAATAATATACAAATTGTGTCTTATTAATGCATAACAGGTAATGTATATTTTTTCAGGATAAAATATCAGGATGCTAATTCTTATAAAATGAAAATGCTAATTACTTTTCCAGATAAGCTGAAATAAGTTTACCTAACAACAACACACACTGCTCACTTTCTTCACCTGCATCTTAAAAAGGATACTATCTCACCTAGTAAGTAAAATTTGACACTGCAGACTTTGTTATTGCTGCTTGTATTAGTGCTGAAAGTATACTAATGACTGAACATAATACGACTCAGGTGTTTTGCTTTATTCATGTAAAGCTGAAAACAGGGTTGTTTGGTTTACCTGGAAGGTTGATTTCAACAAAATGGTGGCTTTTTATTTGATGTGAAGCCAAGTATGAAATCATGAACTTTCTGTACATGGAAAGAATCATATTCTGAAGGGGTTGATAAGAATTATATTATTGTCCTCTCTATTCCTTAATTATTTATTTATTTAGTTAGCAGGTATTTTATGCCCAGCCAGTACCATATGAATAATGGACTATTCTGTTTTGATTGTGAGGAAAGATGGAAAAGACACATTAGTGACACTATTTGGTTTCAGTGAGAAAAAGACAGAAAGAAATGCCCTGCCAATACATTATAGATAATGAAATATTTCATTTTGATTGTAAGGAAAATATAAAAGACATATTAGAGATGCTATTTGGTTTCAATGAGAAAAAAAAAGAAAGAAAGGGACAATTGGGGAGATGATAAAATATTCATGTGTTTAATGAAAAGAAAGAAAGAAAGGGAAGAGTAGGTAAAAGAAATAAAGAAAAGGAAAAGGAGCTGATAACACTCTCATGTGTTTAATGTCTGCCTTAATGAAATTGAAAACCATAGCAATTTTTAATCTTGTCATTTGTACCCTCTTACTTCTTTAAACTGTGGCCTGAATTCTCATTTATGATCGTTATTGCAATATTTGGTTGTTAAGCATAAATATTTAATGATACACTAGAAGAATTTCCATGAGTATTTTGTAGTCACAGAACTCACAATCAGTTTATTTATTCATGGAATATTATGATACCTCAGAAAATTCAAATAGAAAAAATTTTCATCTATACTACTAGTTTTATTTATTTGCTATGATTTACTACAAATACTAACACATGGTTTTTGTAACCTCATCTATATATATATATATATATATATGGGATAACAATATATATATATATATATATAGATATATATATATATATATATATAAAAACTTTCTTTATTGTTATCATATATATATATATATATATATATATATATATGTATAACAATATAGAAAGTTTTACATATATATATATGTGTGTGTGTGCATGAGTGTGTGCAAAATTTCTATACTGTTATCCCATATATATATATATATATATATATATAAAAAACTTTCTATATTGTTATCCTATATATATATATATATATATATATATATATATATATTATAACAGTATTGAACTACATTTACCAGCCTGTTTCTCAGATATTCAGGCCAGTAAATGTTCATTTAATACTATTTATTATAAACAAACATTTACTTAAATACTTGAATCTCTAAAAAGAATGTATACATATAAATATATATATATATATATATATATATATATATATATATATATAAATAAATAAATAAAATAAAACTTTATATATATATATATATATATAATGTCATCCACAACAGACTGTTTCGCTGTTTACAGCTCATCAGTGCAGCTAGACATCCGTTTGCCTCTAGCTAGGATCGAAACCCGACTGAATTGATGTCAGTCGGAACTTCTAACCACTAAGCCGTCGGCGCACAGTAGGAATAGGTAGATTTTTGCGTATTTACTTTTGTAAACATGCCCAGTGACTGACAGTGACTCAATTAAACTTACACTTGAAGAGTCTCGCTATAATAGCTATAATAGTCACTGTTTACAAACCCCTCACCTCCCAGAGTGCTCAACTGAAATCAAATTCAGGGAGCTATATATATATATATATATATACATATATATAAAACTTTATATAATTTATCCCATATATATATATATATATATTTATATATATATGGAATAACAATATATATATATATATATATATATATATAGATATAAAACTTTTATATAATGTTATCCCATATTTATATATTTATATATATATATGAATAACAATATATAAATATTATATATATATATATATATATATATAAAAACTTTATATAATGTCATCACATATATATATACATATATATATATATATATATATATATATATATATATATATATATATATATGTATATATATAAAACTTTATATTTATATATGGGATAACAATATATAAAGTATTATATATATATAAAAAAAAAGTGATTCTCCGTCGAGTTAGGCGTATGAGATCAAGCAGATCAGTTTTCAGAGGCAACAGCAGCCCAACACGGCACATGAGATTTGATTATAGTGGCGAAGGTTTTAGTGCAGGACCATCCACACTTTTTGAAGGGACAAATACAGAGACCTGGTGCACTACCAAACAACCCTCCACAGGTTTTGAATTCAGAGTTGTCCTTCTCCTAGACCAGTTGCCATCCAGTCTGTCCTGCTATTTTACCCATAGCTGGAGGGAGAAGAAGAGGATTCACACCTTTCCCAAGGGTATTAG